GTGCTGCTGAATATGATAATTGCTGCATATTTAGCAATCAGCGTGTGTGTTCTGCTTTTGCCAGGAGGGATTTCTTTCAGTGGAATCAATGGAGCTTTATTAAAAACCATCCAAATTAGAGGGAGAAATGATGAGTGTTATAATAACGTAAAATCACTGTTTCAACTTTCATTGCAAAACCAGGAAAGCAAAATACATCCCTCTTTGTGTATGTAAGGAAAACATCAGGAAAATTCTTTTGAATTGTGAACACTGCTAGAATTTTTAATTTTTACCTTTTGATGCAAAACATAAAAAGTCTGGATGGAGGAAAACATGTTTTCTGTGGAAATGCAGGAGGTCTTGAAGGGTGGGATAATTAGGATATCATAGCAGCAAGCAATTAAGAAGACCCCTTGCATCAACTTCATCCATTTCACATGGAATATACAGTTTACTGCCATACGTAAATCACCTCTGTTTTAGCAGCTAAATAAAATGTTAGTGTGTCAGATTGTTCTAAATCTTAAATCTAGTGACTGGCAGTCACTAGAGCCGGGCAGATTGTTGAAATGCAAAAAATAAAATGGATGGATTTTCATTCTTCACCTGTGCGTGAAACATTGGGGCTGGGGTGGAGAACAAATCTGCTTTTACCTCTCTGAGTTTTTCTTCAGTTTTCACTTAATTGAAAACAAAAACCAACTGTGTCTCAGCAGAGGGGAGACCTGGAGGTTAAAGGGCACATTCCGTTATACCATGGCTCTTTTTGGCATGCTGAATCTCAACCCATGTGATTAGAAACGCTCACAGACAAAAGAAGAGCTTTGAGAACAGAGGTCAAGCCAGCATCTGAATCAAGTCCTTTAACAGATGATCACAAGGCTATTGAAAAATGTGCTAAGCAATCCGGCAGCACTGTGTGCCATGTTTATACACAGAGTTGCAGGCAAAAGGCAGAACTGGGTGGGATTTTCAAAGCGCTTGGGTGATGGTGGAGCACATGCCTTACTCTGCAGGCTTCCTGGGCTGGATCATGTCTTGCAGTGCTTGTCAGTCATGTAAAACACAACAGTAGTGTCATGCCATTTTTTATGGAGAACCACCATGCACGTGCTCACTGTCGTTCATACCACAACGGCTGTCCAAACCTGGATGCCTTGCTCCGTACAGAACAGGCACAGGAAGCTGTCCAGTCCACTGCTGCTTTTAGCCTGGAATATATACTCCAGGTGGAAGGCAATGTGAGGCAGGTGAGAAGAAGCAAAATGCAGCATCTCCCAGACAAAAACATGGCCTCTCACATTTTTCTGCATAGTATTCCAGGTAGCCTCAAGCTTTAGAATGAAGTACATCTTCTTCTGCTTATGTTTCTCTTCTGCAGCCCCAGCACTTTCCTATAGGCAAATCCTTGGTTTGTTTCAAGATACCTCCCTATAGGGGTACTCTACTTGTGCAATATTTGTGCTTATGCACAAATGTTTGAGTGACCTAAGACATTTCTTCTCTGGTTTGATCTACATGTGCATGTCCACTTTTTTTTTCTTTTTTTTCTTCCCTAGGAACTTAACCTTGGGAGAATTAGCAGGTTGCTTTCTGTTTGCTTATCATTTCTGAGCCTTACAAGCCTCCTCTGAAGCACCCTGCAGTTACTGTGTTTGACAAAGGAACAGCTTCACTGACACCTGTACAACTTCGTTTTGTTTTCTTGTTTTCTCTACAGTTGCTTATTCTTTTGAGTAGGAATGGGAAATTAAGAACCTACAGATTGCTGTCTTGCAAGGAAATTAAGAACCTACAGATTCCTGTCTTGCAACAAGTGTAGATTGCATTTGTCCCGGAGATGAAGGAGCCCCCAGCCTGCTCCCCTGCTTCTCTCCCTGCCAGTCCCCTGCTGCTGCCTGTGGATTGAGTTTTGTGAATTGTTTGTTGTTGTTTTTTTAATACAGATAGCTTTCCTTTCCTCAATTTAGGCATGCTGCTGCTCTTTTAATTGCGCTGATGGGATGATGGCTGTTTCTGTGTTTATCTCTCCCCCGTTATTTTTGCATATTCATGTTTTGCTTGTTAGTTATTTGAGGCCGCTCTGCTCTAAGAGATGATTTCTTCATAATGACGGGGTTTTTTTTTTAAGTTGATGTAGTTAATTTAAAAATACAGATGTGTGTTTCCAATCATTCGTTCTATCGTGCATTACTGTATGTTTGTGAAACACCATTGCTATGCTCTGCCAGTGCTACTGGGTGCTGATGGCAAGAGCTGAGCAATACCCCTCCTGCCAGCTCCAGCGCCGCACTGGCCACTGCATGCTCAGCGTCCCTTTGGCCTGAGTAGGACTGCCAGGCTTTAACTCTTCTACTACAGTTCTGTTGTTTTCTTCCCTAATCACTTTAAAATCACTAAAGATGTGCTTCAAACCTACGCCCCTGTCCTAGGCCAGCTGTGTGCTTCCTGTCTGCTGGGAGGGAGGACAAGCTGGGAATATTTTGATCTTGCTAATTAGTATCTTTAATGCCAATTTTTAGCTTAATAAGTTGTGGAGAGAGCAAGAACCATTGCTTGGACTCAATCTAAAGCATAAATAAATTGGATGAGGAAGGTGCTTCTATTTTCACAACTTCTCTCTCATCGGGGTAGTATTTTATTTTAGGCACTGTTTTGCTCTCAGCTGAGCGATGCTATGTTTTTACTGCTGCATGGACAGATGGGGGAAGGAAAGAAGAAATGGCTGAGTCTTTAATTAGCGACAGAGAGCCAGAGCTTGCCTTTCCAGAGCATTGAGGTTTTATATAGGATGGGGAGACTGAGCAGCTTGATGGAACCAAAAGCCCTGTATCCACCGCCAGGGGTTTCTATGGTAACTGGATCCCAAATCATATATACAAACAGAGCCGGTGGGGGGACCTCCTTCTGGCTGGTCTGCAGGAAACCCATCAGAAAAGGGGCGTTTTCAGGCTGTAAAAAGGCCTTGCAATGTAAATATTTTTTTACTGTCTTGTGAGTGGTGTAAGTTTTGGGATCACTGCTGAATAATTCTAAATCTGTTCCTGCATGTTGGCTGCCGCTGCTCATGGTAGGTGTGAAAGTAATCACCGTGAAGCTTGCACAGGGCTGTGGGTGCAGGGTGAGTTACCCGGCGCATCATTGCGCTCATAAGCATCTGGCTGCTGCACATAGTTAATAACCTCGCTGCTGCCACGCAGGTAGGCTGTATCCTACATGGCTTTTGTGCCAAGCAAACTAAATTATACATTTGGATTTTTCCTTCCTCGTTCTTCATAAAAAGCACAAATTAGGAGGTTCCTCTGTAACCGCTGTACCTGGTGAATTAAGGGAAATTATCAACCTGATCAAATTAGCAGCATGAGAGCAGCCAAAGCGGCCATGACTCAGCCTGAGTGCATGTGTCCATTCTCTCTACATGTTACTTCTACTGGTGGAAAAAATGAATGAATGATGAATTTAGCCTGCTTGCCCTCCTTTTGAAATGTAGAGCAATTACTGTTATTTTTCACTCACCCGAAGTCAGGCACCGCTAACGCAGGGATCATTTCAAATCAGAGGTGGTTATTTCCTGTGGCCACCAGTTCCACAAGGATTCCTTCCTGTTTTGATTCGGATAAAGGGGAGATAGCAAGAAGCCTGTGCTGAATAATCTTTCCTCTTATGAGTGTCTTGGATCCTTAGTGAGTGGTAAGGCACATGATGGTATTTGTCAAGCATAATTCCTGTGCTTTGCTAGGAGCTGGAAGGGATGATGCCTTTATTTGCATTGGACTTATGTAATGCATATGTAGTGGAGAGATTGTACACAAAATTACTGTATGAAAGTAGATAAGACCTCCTACACCTGAGTGCACTACCTGTCCCATTATAGCTTTTAAATCTCCACAGTGAAAATGACTTATTGTGCGTAAATTACAAGGCTAACAAAAATGTGCTCTAACCTTTGGAACGTGCAGCACATGTTAATTTTTGTTTGTTTTTCTACAATCAGGCATTTGCAGAAAGCTTTGTGTGATTTATTCTTTTCTTTTTAATGAATTGTTAAAAATGTTTGAAAAGGCATTAAATCTTCCTTTCTGCCATTAATCTGTAAAAGGGGAAGGGGATTTTAAATGGCCTCTTAGTATATTGCTTTATAAAACTGCTGATTCTAGCAGCACCGGAATAGGAACACATACTAATGTAGGAAACACTGAATGCAGTCAGGGCCTCCTGCATTTATGGAGAAAAAGACTAATAGCTCCATTTTAACAAGGCTCTTAACACTTTGGGCCATCAGCAGGCATTGAGTGAGTGAAATTGGGAGAGTTCCTGTGTGCTAAAAGCATTGAAGTTCACCATTTCGTACTCCAGTTGGAGACTTCCAGCTTAGAATTGTGCTCTCTAGCCCACTCCAGTTGCCATCTTCAAACAAACCAAGCAGTGGGCTGGCATTTTAACTGAGTGCACTAATGTTTCACTTCTGAAACAGCACCAGAGCACACCAGATGCATATAAGTCCCAGATGGATACTTAGATTTGCAGTGGTGTTAAGGGAAGTTTCTGGATTTGTGTTAAGATTGAAAGCAATGTCTGTTTATATTGTGTTTTATGCTTGAGAAAAGCACAAGCGTGGAGGAAAACAGCAGACTTGGTACTAAGATGCTTGCTTTGATTCAAGGAGTTACACTGCAGGAATCAGAAGCAGTATGCTTACTTAGATTAGCTCCTCATGTTATTGAATTTTAGGAAGAAAGCCAGTCAGGGAAGGGGAGACAGTATCCCAGCTAGCATACAAACAAGGAGAAGTCTTGAAGATTGTACCTGTTCTAAACAGCTCTTTGATACAGAAGCCTTTCTTGTTAGCAGTGATAAGATTATGTATGGGATTTGGAGCTTCTTTGAGCCCCTACCTTTCTTCTGTTGATTTTGGCATATTGTAGCATCGTATGTTCTCTGCTTATCGTTTTGAGATGCATTGTTAGTAGCTGGGGTGCATAATTGATCTTCATGTCTAATTACTCTCCTCTCCGCAGGTTCCTGGAAAAGGTCCAGATGGGAGCTCATACAATCTCCACTTCGAAGGGATGGAAAGGCAGTATGCATCTTTACCCAGGTACAGTGCTAAGCCTTGTACCTCTCACTCTCTGATTTACCCTCCCTCCAGTGTGTAGGGAAATCAGCCTAATCCCTGGCTCTTGCATGAGGCATTATATTGCAATTTCATCTTGTCACCTTTTCTGTTGATGTATTGCTGTCTTTATAACTGTCCTAATTATTTGAACTTTCAGTTTTAAAAGAGAAAGTCTCTCTCACTGAACATGTCAGCAAGAGCCATGATCCACTTGTAGAGAACGTGACATTGAGGGAGCTGGCTCTGCAGTGATTACAGCAGGTCACAGCAGAGCATAACTAACAGAGTTTATAGTGATGAAATCCATCTGGCAATGATGGAGTACTGCTGTGGGAAGTCTCCACTGCGGCAACCACAGCTACTGAAGTCCCATGTTGCTGCAAAGTCCCACTGAGTAGAAGTCCTATTCCTGTAGAGTTTCTCTGTGCCTAACTGAACCCTGTGGAAATAAGAACCAATCCTCTGAAGGCTTTTTCAATTTTTAATTCTTATCCAACTCAGTCAAAAGTAATTCTAGCTGAAACCAGTGGGATGTAAGAAAAAGAAAGCATTTCACAGATTTCAGTCCCGTTTCTATGGGACTTCTAAACAGCATAAGATGTAGCAAGCTAGAAAAAAGAGTGAGAGAACACCAGAAGAGAAGATGGGAAGAAAGCTAGAAAAATAGAAAAAATTCTCCTTGTAGAACCAGGGGACTGGGAAAAACCTTCACAAGATTGCACAGTCCAATTCTTGGACTTCCTAATCAGGTAATTTATAAAAACAAAGCAAAAATAAGCATGAAGAGATTCTTAGATGTGAAGTTGTGCTGACATTTAGGAAATCAATGAGCAGCCTCTTTTTCTTCTTTTTTTCTCCATTGGTCTGTTTGCATTCATAGGAGTTACAGCAAAGTTTGACTGACAAATATGTAATGCTGTGTTCTATTCAACACGAAAATAAAAAGAATATCTTACTTTTGGAAACCCATGCATAGAGGCTTTTTCACACACACACAAAAAAAAACATTATTAGATGTTTGTAGGCATTTTTAATGTGTGATTTTAAACCAAAAGTTTGTCTGTAGTCTAGTTACTGCCTTCAAACAACAGTATTTGTCAGCCTTTGTTTTGGAACTTGTTCCTGTGCACTCACTGGCTTTTGTAGCACTTTTTTAGCTGTGTCTTACTGTGTTGGTTAAAGAAACATCTTCTTTCACGGTCCTTCAAAACTCACATCTCCTGTCATCCTGTCATCCTGTCATGTTGTAGCAGGGATTTTTGCAGGTTGGTTCTCTGTACTTCAATGTAGTCCTTGTAGTCCTTTTTTTTTTTTTTTTTTAATCTACTTTAAATATGTTGGTTACTTCCTTTTGAATTACAAGAATGAAATAGTAATTGCTGCCCAGTGTAACTCTCTACAGCCATTTTTCACATTCCCATATCATATCTCCTTTTATTCATCTTTCCTTCCAATGACTCAGCTTAATTTTTGCAGTCTTTACAAATGAAAATTTCCCAGTGAAGTAACTTTCATCACCCTGAACTCTCTTTGTATCACCAGTATTCCTTTTTGAGCTAGAATACCCAGTAGTGAGCAGAGTCCTGCGGATGCAGGCACACACTTACGTGATGTAGCAGCAAGGCGTTCTGTGTATTCCGTCTGTTCCTGTTCTTTTGCACCCTCAGTGTGTCCCCTAGGTGTATGGTTCCCTGAGGCACCCTGTGTATTTTCAAGGTAAATCTGTCTAATCATAAATCTCCGTGTTCTTCCTGAAACTTCAATTTGAAGGAAACATGACACTCTCAGCTCTTCACAGCTCTCCTGAAAGGTTTGAGCGTTTAGCTGGCTGGGACTCACCATTTAGGAAGTCATCCAGACATTCAATAAGCTTTTGGAGATCAGTGTGAGAAGAATATTGTTTGTCGGTGCCTAAGAAGATTATGCTGCAGTGAGATGGAGCATACATCAGATGGGTTATGTGCAGTGCCCAACATGAAGGCTCGCACTGTCACATGTAGGCCTTGTCACTTTTGTGTATGCAAGAGCATTTCCGTCTGGACAGGAGTAGAGCTTTGGGATGGCCTGACTTTGGATGTGCCTGCAGTTGAGCAATTGGCTGTTGTGCTTTATGCTTACATTTTGTAAGTTTTGCAGTTTCACATCACTGCAGTAATTAGGCCCTGACAGTCACAAATGACTGGATCGCTACAGTGAAGTCTACATCCAGAAGAAGTGGATGCAGTCTCATTGCCAGCCACTAATGGAAATGAGTGATTTCTTTTTTTTTTCATGGCTGAATGCCCAGGAGTGTAGAGAAATCCAGGTAAAAGCCACCTATTTGCCAATCTGTTCTCAGTGGAGCATCTTGAACACTACTGTAATGTACAGCATCAGAAGACAGACGGTGATGGAAAAGGAAAGAAATAGGTGGAGCTACTAAGGTAGCATCTCCTCAAAGAATGCCATTCTTCTCCCCAGCATTCTCATAGTTCGTGATTGTTGTGTCCTCCTTGTCTTGTCCTGTCCTCATCTTGGTCAAACCACCTAGCTGTATATGGTATGGAGATGGCATATAATTGTCTATGAATTTATTCACCTAAGTCCAGCTTAATAGGAGATATTTAAGGAGGATCAGATGAGGGCTGTATTGCTATACAGCATTGAGTCTGGGAGGCTCTGAGCTTTGCCTGCTTCTCTGGCATGGCACAACACCAGGAAGGAGAGGAAAGTGCTGTGGCTGCTTCTGATTTCCCTGGAGGAGAGTGAGGAGGGAATCTGTGCAGTGTCAGGAGGAAGTGGGACCTGCACAGTGAAACTGTTCTGCTTACCTGAAGCCAGCAGAAGCCATGCCAGCATGTGCATGGACAGACAAATCAAGGAAGAGAGCTTTGGTTTTCCTCCCCACTGAGCAGGCAGGAAAGATCATCTGCCAAATAGCTTTATGAGCATGCGGTGCCTGAAGGCACCACCCCGTTCAGCGCAAAGGCACATGAAGGGGAAGATTGTCAGCAGCATCTGCACATCTTTGCGCTGGGTTGTAAAATCTCATCGTTAAACAGCATTGCTGCTTTGCCCTTTTGTATTTCTCTGGCTTTCTCTGAAGCTGTTAATTTGAGACTAGATATTACGGGCCAAATTCAGATGCTGTATTAACCATATTTGAGGAATTCTGCTGTGTTGCATGTGCTTGCCTTCTCAATATATGTCACAGCAGATCCAGTGCTCCAGTCTCACTGAGCTCAGTGACACTTTTCGCCTCTGAACGCAGGATCTGTTCCTGTGTAAGGTTATGTTTTTAATTAACAGCTGAAAACAGGAGGCAGCAGCCTTTGGAGGAAGGCTTTGTATGTGACAGGTTTAGTGAGCGGCCAGATGAGTTACCTAGTTAAGTTTCAAGCTAAAATAGTGCCAGTCTGTACACTTTGTTTGGAAATGTCTACAGAGCCAAACATCTGAATTGGATGATAAATGGCTGTGGCAGGAGAGTGGCAGGTCTTCAGCTTACACTGCATTGTGCTGTTCCATCTGTAGAAAAGGAGCAAAATGAGAAAGACAGAATGGAAGGCTTTGCAAGAGAGATACAGTTCTTTGCACTCGGTGCTTGCGTATTGCCCTGGGGCTAAGGCTAAGTAGTGCTGAATGGTTTTATTAAGCAATGTTAAATCCCCCCTGCTTAGGAGGAGAATGGCTTGATTCTTATACGCCTTAGCCTCCTTTTTTGGCAAGAGGAGCGTGACAGGGGTGTGGAAGACAGAAAAACATTAGTATTTCTTAAACTATTTTTAACGACAGTTTTCTTGGTGTAATCCAGAATATTTTCCTGATAGAAGCATGGAATGGATACTAAGATGGAATTGCTCTATTTGTTCATAGTTTTATTTTTGAACTTGCTTGTATGAAAGCCTGTCTTAATGTAAATCACAGGCTTGCCAATGGCAGCCTTGTTCAGAAGAATCTTGTGTCTCCATACTTATTCTTTGCTGTGGTGATGGAAAAACTGGCTGTAACCAAAAGCAGAGACTGTCAGATGCTGAGATGGGACACTGCTGGCATGAATGTAAACAGAAAGTTCATTCCTCTTGCTGGTAAGAAATGCTGATTCCAAAAGAAACCTAGTATTCCTGACTTTCTCTGGAATCCTCCTGTCACTGAAAAACATACATTTTGTCAAGAAAAGGGGTGGAACTACACTGAGGATGTCACAAACTAATTACCAGAACAAAAAATGAGTTCAGGCTGTGTAGATGAGTTCAGCTCTATTGCTGTGGCTGGGAGGAGACCATTAAGCAAGCTAGCAATTGGCTCAAGGAATATCTATCTTGAATGCAGCATCCACCCTGAAAATGGGAAGTCTGCAAATGTTTTGAAGAAATGGTTTTGCAGTACAGTAACATCCATGTCGTCTTGTCATGCTGGAAGTTCCTCTTCACCTCAACCATGTAGCTCGCACTTTTTCACGCAGTAGCTAGAAGAAGCACAGCTGCCATTGTTAGATTTGAAACCAGAAAGGAAACTTTAAATGCTTTATCTGAGCCTTCTAAGCTCTCTACCTTTCTGCTTCAGACTAAATTTTGATTTTGAATTTTATTTTGATCCATCATGTCACTTCTATAAATGTAATGAAATTAATTAAAATTTCCAATAGTGGAGAATTTGTCACGTTCTTCAGAGCATAATCATTTTGCTCTTTTTAGAAGTTTATTTCTTTTTTTCCTAAGTATGAAGTTGTTGGTTTTCCTTTTCCAGACACTGTATGTTTCTACTAGATTCTAAGAGCCAGGTGGTCTGCAAAACCCCTCTCCTTTGGTAGCTGTATGCGGTGATCCTTTATGTTATCTTTTAACCTCCCTCTCAGTAAATTAAATAATTGAACACTTCAGTCTTTCAGTATAGAGCATGAGAACCGCATTGACTCAGGAGACAGGAATCCCCATGCAGACAAATTACGAGGTAGCCTCCAGAGTCAAGTCAAAAACATTTCCAACTGTTTGGATCAAAAG